GAACCTGGCAATGTCACCAGGCCCGGGCCAGCTTCTGACCGGTTTCCCACAGGCAAGGCTGAATGGCTCCTCTGGTCGGGAAGCACCTTCATGGGCATCAGCCCCCTGGAAGGAAGCTGGGCGCCGCACAGGGGGCCCCCCACACGCCTGCACTGCGTGGCTGTGACCCTCTGATGGGCCACGAGCGGGGCTGCCAGGAGCAGGGAGCGGAGGGTGGCCTGCCTGACGTCACACAGCTCCCTGGGGCACCGGACCGCCAGCCCACAGGAATCCCGTGGGTCTGCTCAGGCTCCTTGATACGGTGCACATGGGCACATTCACAGCTCCCCTGTTCATAGCTGCTCCTTTTCCAGACACTTCCACAAGATGTGGGAGCATCTTGACCTCTTTTTCATCTCTTTTCTAGCATTTGCCAGTTGCGTAATTACACATTCCTTGGTGGATCTCCTGATATGCTGTTGGTTTTCCCGCCTTGGGAGGGACCTCATCGGGCTTGCTCACTCCCTGGACTCTCGGCTCCATCTCCCCAACTTCACCCAGTTGGCTGGGCCCTGCTGGCTTCTCCCTCCTGGGACCCTTCTTTGCAAACTCTCGGGCAGTAAGCTGGGGCAGTCAGGGCTCTCCTCCTTCGTTTCTTGTTCTTCAGAGATCCCCGCCTTCTGTGGCCTTGAGGTCCGCTATTTTGAAAACCACTGTTGTATGTGTTTGGTATATTTTGTGGATGTTTCAGGTGTGTGGAGGACAGCAAATCTGGCCCTGTTACTGCATCTTAGCTGGAAGCAGAAGTCCTGAATCTAAGGGTTTTGTTTGTTTGTTTGTTTGTTTGTTTAAAGATTTATTTATTTTAAAGAGAGAGCGTGAGCGGGAGGAGGGGCGGAGGAAGAGTCTTAAGCAGACTACGTGCTGAGTGGGCAGCCTGACTGGGGCTCCACCCCACGACCCTGAGATCATGACCTGAGCCGAAACCAAGAGTTGGACGCCCAACCAATTGAGCCACCCGGGGCCCCCCAAATAGAAGTTTAAATGATGCATTTCTTGACTGGGAAGAAAGCAGCTCCTTTGATAAAGCAAAACCGAACCTGGGTGGTTCCACATCACGTTCTCTGGTTGTCACTTTTATCGTCTTTATGGACGTCAGGAGAGTTTAAATGAATACAGCAGACAGAGCCTTATTGAGTCACAGGAGAGAGGGTGTTTCTACCCCTGAGAGGTCAGGACAGCTCCTGCCTATCTGTCGGTGTTTGCAGAATCTTGGCCCTGAGCAAGGGGGGGTGGCGCTGGTGGGGGGGGGGGGGAGTGCCAGAGGAGGCGGAGCTCCAGCAGGCTCCTGTCTGGGACTTCACACCCTGCTTGCCTCGGTCTTCCCCGTCTGACCACCTGCCTCTCACAGGCGTTGCCTTAGCCCTTGATCCTTAGCACCAAATGGCCTCCTCCCCTCAGCCACAAATGACCTTCCTCTTGCACATTAGCAAATCTGCATGTCTGGTCTCTTGGAGCCTGCTGGCACCTTGAGCAAGTCGAGCAGATTCTGGCCAGCCCGGTAATGATCCGTGGGCAGCTGGTACCAGACCTGGAAAGGGCACAGTTTCTATCGAATCCATCTTTGCACTCCCAACTCCTAGCGTGATGCCAGGGATGCAGGTGCTCAGCAAATGGCTGGTGGATGAAGGAAAGAATGAAGGAACGAACGAACAAATGAATGAGCACCTTCATGATGCTACCTTCTCAAATATGCACCATCAGTCTGCTCACGTGCTAAGCTTATCATATCTGCAAAGGAGAACTGGCCACACCGATAGGAAGGAAGTTCAGGCAGGAGCAGACCTGGCCTGCAGCCCAAAGCTCGGTGCCCCAACCCCAGCCCCTGCAAAAGATGCTTCTTGATCCCGAGCGTCCCTGTTTGTCCTTTTTCTGAAATGATACTTCTTAGCCTTCCTCCAGCTCCTACAGTCCCTGATCCTTCCTAATGTAAAAAGAATGACCAGAGCTAGGATAAATAAGGATGCATTCCTTGAACACAAGAGCTGTTTTCTTGGCAAAATCCAAGATTTATGCCCTGGACCAGATTCACAAAATTCCTCCCTCTTTTCCTATGTGTTAGCTTCTTGCCTTGAGTAGCTTCCTCACAGGCATGTGCTGAGCAGCTCACGGCTGAATAATATTGGGGGCCTGAAGCAGAAGGACCCTCTCAAGCCAGACTTCCTGCTTTCTGTATGAGTTGTGTCTGAAAAAAGTGAGCAAGAAGGAAATCCCCCACCTCATTACCAATGAATGTAAAGAACATCACAAGAGACGCTCTGAAATTGAGTGTCAAATTGCAGATGAGTTTTAGGAACAACGCTTCTGTTTCCAGTTGATGGGATTTCTCAACAAATGCCCTGGTGGCATTTTTGGAGGGACAGTTGGACCTTGTAGGAATATCCAGGTTACTGTTGTTTTCGGGAGCTCCTGGGCTCACTTACTGTGGCAATCAGAGACAGCCCCTGTCCCCATATTTCCAAGTGCCCTCTGGAGGGGGGCTGCCCCCAGCTGAGGATACACACTGGTGATGTGAGCCCCAGCCACCTGTGCGCCGTTGGAGGGCAGGTGTGAGGGTCCCCTTGGGCTGCAGGCATGGCCCTTGGGACTTGGTCCAGAAATTTTACAGCCTGAGGTAGAATTGACAGAAACCAAAATTGCTTCCCTTTGCAGCGAAAACAAGGAGGCAAGCCCTTTGGGGTTGGGACCCCATGTATCTGGTTGCATTTCAGACTGTCCTGCAGTGACTACTGTAGGGAAGATGGGGCCTGGATCTGTGCTGGGTCACTCCAGGAAGACTCGGCTAAGCCAGGGACACCCCAAAATGAGGAACTGGGTGGGGGGAGGGAGCCAGGCTTCTCTGGGGCGGGGGGAAGAGAGAGGTTTGTGTTTGATATTTCACCAAAAAAATACTGAAGACATTCATCATGGGGAAAAAGAGAATCCTCTTGAATCTCCTTTCCCTTATTTTAGAGCTTATTCCTATTTTGAATTTCATATTCTATATCTTCTCAGCGTTGGGATTTCTAAAGGCCTGATCTCACCCTGGCTGAGAGCAGCCCCATGGCTCGGTGACACCCTTGTCCCCGGCCCCGCTCAGGGAGCATTTCCGAATCTGCTTGGTTGTGTGGTTATCTGAGCGCCACATCTGGGGACCTTGCATTTGTTAACAGGGCTTTAGCACCTGCTCCTTGCAAAGCCCATCATGACTTCCTGCGTCTCCCTGCCCAGCTGCAAAAATGCCACAATCCGGTAACAAGTCGGTAACCTATACCCCCTCTGCCCAGCTTGTTTCTCTTTCCTTGTTCCCAGCAGGCGTATACAAGAGAAAAAGCACTTGGGAAAACAAGCATGGCAGTCCTTATAAAGTTACTCACACACACACACCCCCTAGGACCCGACGAAAACAGATCTATACCACGCATGCAAATGCTTCTAGTAACTTTATCCACAAAAGTCAAACCCTGGAAACAGCCTAAGAGTCCACAACAGGTGAACGGATAAACGAATTGTGGTTTATTCATAGAATGGAATAACCCTCAGCAGTAAAAAAGAAGGAACTGCTGAAATTTGCAGCAACGTGGATGAATCTCAAAAATATTTTGCTAAACAAAAGGAGCAAAAAAAACAAAAACAAAAAAACCACACACTGCGTGATTACATTTGTGAACTTTCAAGAACAAGCAAATCTCATCAATGATTTTAAAAAGCAAAATAGTGGTGGCCTGCAGGGCAGGGATTGACTAGAAGGAGGCCCAGGGAAACTTTCTGGGGTGATGGAAATATTCTATGTCATGACAGTGTTGTGGCTTAGGCAGGTGAACGTATTTGTCAAAGCCGATCAGACCACACACTTCCATTGGGTAAGAGTCACCATATGGGATTTACACCTTGATGATTAGGACAACAGCAACGTCCATAGTAAGAAGGATGATGGAGATGAAGCCATCCACAGTATCCTTGGGAAATCATTCCCTCATTCCCCATGTGCTGTGGAGTCCCTGAAGGTGTCTATTATTCACTGGACTCAGAGCCTAGAGCCTAGTTTTGATTCCTCTACACAGAGTCACAGGTCTTGAAGACCTGCCCAAAGCTAGTAGTGTCTATCTGTCCATCTGTCTGTCCCTCACTCCCTCCCCAGCCCCCTCTCTCTTTCCTTCCCCTCTCTCTCCCTCTCCCATTTCTTTTGCAACTCAGGGCACTTCTTTCCAGTTGTGTCTGGACATTTCAGAGCCTCTGGGATGAGGCTGTGTGATGTCTCTGCTTTTCTCAGGAGAGCGAACCAGCTTTGTTGTGAGCCTCAGCTACCCCTGTGCTTCGTTATCAGCCCCACATAACTGGTGCCAAGGGGGAGGACAAGTTCCCTCAGAGACTCCATGGATTGAGTAATGACCAAGGGGCCCCACGGCACCCAGGGTCAGATGCTGTGTCAGTGACACTTTTCCAGATTTTGGCCACCCGTGCAAATTGAGGCGGCTGTAGGTACTCACCGCCTGGGCCAAATTCAAGAAGGGAGAGAGCCTGCCTCTTAGAAGAAATCAGCTTACCACACTGACATTGATGGGCCTCCCTTTCTCTCCTTCCTCCCGCAGTGTGAGCCCTGTGAGCCCTGCTCCCCACCCCCACCCTCGGAGGAAGCGGATTTAATGCCTCAACTGAGAGAATGAGATGTTCTGTTATTTTTCATGGGAAATTAAACCTGACCCTGCTGTCAGTTAGCTCATGCCAAGGGAGGATGGATGGCCCGGGCCTCGGCGCTTAACCCCTGCTCGGAGCACGTGTCTGGCTGGGGGCCAGCCATGATGTCACCTGCCTCTGGGGTGGGGGTGGGTACGGCAGGGCAGGTCAGAGAGCCTTCATCCTGGAGGGCGGGGGACTGATGATGGTGAGGCCGCCCTTGGTGTCACCCACAACAGTCCACCTCTGACATGGCCGGCACCTGCTCATCTGGCGGAGACTCAGCCTGTCACTATGTCTTTCAGCCCCCAACTCTACCTCGTGCCCCGCTGAGGAAAGCTGGCGGTCGGGGCTGGTGATCATCATTGCGGTATGTTGTGCCTCCCTGGTGTTTCTCACTGTGCTTGTCATCATTTGCTACAAAGCCATCAAAAGGTGAGTGCTCACGGGGCTCTGAGCCCCGAGGGGGCTCTGCCTGGGCTGGCAGCTGCTCCGCCCACCCCCATCATGTTTCTTTAAGCCATAAAAATTGTTAAGCATTTAATGAGCAGAAAGAATGTATAGTGAATGCCCATATATATATATATACATATATATATACACATGTATATATATAGTGATCCCCCCCACCTGGAAGTAACAGGCCCTGCCTTGGGGAGCTCACTCAAGGCGCCTAGGACTTAAGAGTATGGAAGTAATCCTTGCAGGGTGGGGGATGGAGGCGCCATGTTGGTTTGGTGTAGGAACTGGGTTCTGGAACCAGATCTAAATTCAGATACCAGTTCAAACTGTGGGACCAGGAAGAAATCACTTGAACCCCTTTGACCTTCGGTTTCCCTACTTGTAAATGGGGGGAAAGAATGACAGCTGTATACTGTCAGGAGGCGTGGTGAGATGCTTCTGTCAACAGTATGCGCAACATGTATACTCCGCAGTGCCTGGCATACAATAGGTGCTTGCAGAGTACTGCTCTGGAGTCCATTGTTCCAGTAGCCGCAGATAGAGGAGGAAGGGTGACACAGGGAGCCAGGCTTCTCTGGGTGGAAGAGAGAGGTTGAGATGCCTCAGAGAAGATTTTCAGTGAACATGACTTCAGCTGGGTTCTGGAGGATGAACAGGGGTGCTCCAGCGGAGTCGTAAATGATCCAAACAGCAGACTCGCTTTCACAAACACTCTCTGTCCTTTCTGTAACTACCAACTCACCCTGCCTTTCAAAAATGATCACCAGTCACCACCTGCCTTGTGGAGCTGGGGTCTGCAGCCGAGTGCGGCTGTCATTGGGGTCTGAGGTTTAAGCTGTGTCCGGGGCCCCTAAGTCTGGTAGAATAGGCCATGTGGTGGATGCCCCTCCCCGCACCCCGGAATTACAGCACAGCAGCTCCCCCCTTTGGTCCCCTGACCTCCAGACTTCCCAGCCTCCAAAAAATGTTCCCCATCTACCCCAACTTCCTGGGACCTTGGGGGAGGAGAGAGTCAAAAGACAAACAAAAATGTTGCAAAACACCCGAGGGTGCTAGGCATTGTTCATATATTTCTGATAAAGGTTTTGAAAATTCCCGAAGGCCCACAGTCAGGGGGTCTCTATTAAGAACAATCGGAACACCTAAACTATTTCACTTTAGCCTTTCAATCCGTTGTTCTATGTGATTTCATTTGAATAATTCAAAAGCAGAAAGAGTAAAATATCAAGTTAAAAGTCTGACAACGAGTGCATGTTCAGGCGCGGAGGGCGACGGGCCAGAGCGAGCAGGAGCATCCTGGCAGGACACAAGGAGGACAGGGCCCAGGTACAGCAGCTCCCCGGACATCGGCCAAACCCTGGGGATCTGCCTCTCGGCCAAGAGCCCCTTCTAGAAGCCCCCAGCCCTCATGCTATCAGATAACGTCCACAAACAATGACAAGTCGCAAGGGAGGGGCTGTAGCCCAGCGTCTCTTCAACAAGCGTGTGTGTGGGGCTCCTGGCCCCCCTAACATTCCCTCAGTTTGCCTTCGTCACATCTTTTTCCAATCCACAGCATTTTACAGATGAGGAACCAGGTGCAAAGGGATAAAGGGAACTGCCCAGAATGGCACAACCAGGGAGCAATGGACCCGAATCTGAACGTGACTCCAAAGCCCAGCCCCAGACTGCGGCCGGTATCACTAGTATTAAGCAAAGAGCGGACCTCATTATTCTTGTCTGCCCTTCCTCAAGGGTGCCTGGGCACCTGGGGTGTCGCTGTGCTACTTTGAGGAAGGGAGGACAGATGGACAGAAAGGCTCCAAGGCTCCCAGACCCTGCAATTCAGGGGGAGGCCTGGCCTTGGAGACCAAAGTGGATACGTTGGGAGACCCCCGGGGGACACAGCCAATCAGATTCCCAAGTGGCCTACTGTGTGCCTGGCTCTGTGGGGACAGAGACAGGTAAGATCCGGGCCACGCCTGTGGGCTGCTTACCCGACGGAAGGGCGGTGGGGGGCAGATACGTGCATGACCATGACCATGTTACAAGGCAGGTGGCGATGAGGCTATGGGAGGCTTGCTGGCAGCCTGTGGCGCTGCCCAGAGGAGTCATGGCTAACTCTGATCGGGATGATACAGCATCCGAGCTGAAAGCCTGCTGCAGCGGGAGGAGGATTTTGAGAAGCTGAGCAGGGAGGCTTTCCAGACAAAGGCACCTGTGTGAGCGAAAGCACCAGGACACCAGGAAGCTCCTGGACGGAGCCGCGTGCCTGACGGGGAGGTGCTTGGCCCACCGGGCTGAGCAGCTTGCTGGGGCTCAGGAGGCACAGGGAGCTACGGGAGGTTTGCCAGGAAGAGCACGCAAGACCCACCAGAGAGGGGCCACTGTCCCCTCAAGGACGCCCCGCCCCTTAAAGAGAGAGGCAGCATTCTCAGGTCACCTCTGCCTTCCCTCTCTGCCGCAAACTTCGGGAGAGACGTGCTGTCTGCTCCAGCGTCAGGAGGGCACGAGGAGAACTAACTCACATTAATAGCTGACTGGCGGTGTGGCCAGCTGTGGCGTGCAGGGCTTTGCTCCAGCGGAGCTGGGGGTCTGCCAGGAAGGCGTGTGGGGGTGCCCCATCCCCTCCCCTCAGAGCAGCCTGAGGGGCTTCCTGTCTGCCCTCTGTCCCCTTACACAGGCTCTGAGCTCTTGGTTCCTGGATCTGTCAGTGGCCTGGAAGGACGCCAAACTCAGGCCACATGGCTCCGTTGATCCCTTCCAGGGGTGTGGGCGGGGCTCCTTTCCAGGGTATGGGCGGGGCTTTCCTCCCAAGGATGTGGGCGGGGCTTCCTCCCGGAGTTCGGGCGGGTCCTGGGAGTAAATGGGGCTGATGAAGCACTCCAGGACCGTAGCGGTGGGGGGCGTCAGCGCCCCTAGGACCAGGACAAGGGGACAAAACGGTGCCATAGGAACTAGAGAACCTAGAAAGCCCGAGACTCAGGAGGGGCCGCTTAGCAGGAGCTGTGGTTGGAACAGATGGAGATGAGCCCCAGAACTGGAAAGGTAGGGGAGATACACCCCAACCTCTCTCCATCCTCCCTCATCTCCTGAGGGTGCCTCTCACTGGCCAAACCCAAGGAACAGGGATTCCCAGGACATGCAGTGGTAGGCGTCAGCCTCCCAAGGCACAGGGCAGGGAGAGGATGGATTGGATGCGTGGGGGCAGAAACAGAGACCAGCACAGTCCCTGCTCTGATCCGCATCCTCCTCTTCGAAAGCCCTGGGACATGGGAAGAAGACCCAGCCCTCTGCTCCTCCAGACCTCATCATCCAGAAAGGGTATCCCAGTGCTCGCTTCGGCAGCACATATACAGAAAGGGTATCCCAGCCCACAAAGACAAATAGTCAGTGACCGGAGGGGGCTCTCTTTGGGGTCAAGTAGAGGCAGAAATAGAGGCCAGCACTCCCAGAACTGGCCTGGAAGGAGACCTGTGTGGGAGAGGCTTAACCCCTTGGGGGAGGGAGAAGGGGGCAGCCCGAGTTATAGCTGTGTGGGAGAGCAGATGGCCCCTACTGCTGCCCGGGCTAATCTCTGCTGGGGGCTGTAAGAGATAGCATTGCGCCAGCCAGCTATCTCTGTGCATTTCTCTCCAGAGTCAATGGAGGATTTCTTGCTCTCGGCCAATTCTTTTTGGTTAATAATTCATTTGAAACATGCCTCTTCTCTCAGGAAACAAAAGCATTTCATGTCACTGTAAAACCATTAAAAGGAAAATTCAGTGATAAACCCGGATCTTTTTTTAACTCTCACAGCCTGATGTCCTGGGGGAGGATTTCCGAGAGATCTTTGTGAATGGTCCCAACGTAGCGTTGGGGAGCCAGATTGCTGGGAAGATGGTTCTAGAATCAGCTGGGGTAGCAAGATGGTTCTGGAGACGCCAGCTTGGTTTGGCATCTGGGGTGCAGGCCGCAGGCTCCACAGGCCTCTGCAGGAATGGGAGGAGACAGGAGCAGGTACAGAAGCAGCACCCCACAGTGCCCTCACTGGGCATGACCTTGGTGGGAGGTGGGGTCGAATCAGCACTTCCTACTCACAGACTTAGTGAAGCAAACTGCGTCGGTGAGTCAACAAATGCACCCGGAGTTCCAACTCTGAACTGGGTGACATGGTGCTCGGGGATGGGGGGGCTCCAAGGCGGGGAGCCCAAGGAGGGGCACCTCCCCCAGACCCAGGGCCCTGAGAGGTTTCTTGGAAGGGGAAGGGTGTTAATCAGACCAAGGGGCTCAGAAGGGGGAGCTTCTCACAGCGGGACTAGCTCATAGAGTGGCTCCCAGGTCCCCTGCCAGTGACCCCAAACTCTGCAGGGTCCCCAGCCATGGGAGCCCACACAGCTTACATTTCAGTGGCCTCCTTACCATGAACTTGCTGTGAGCAGCTTTTTCTTCTTCTTTTTTTTTTTTTTTAAGATTTATTTATTTGAGAGAGAGAGGGGTGGGGGGGCATGGAGCAGAGCGAGAGAGAGTCCCAAGCAGACTCCAAGCTGAGCACGGAGCCCGATGCAGGGCTCAATCCCAAGACCCTGAGATCACGACCTAAGCCAAAACCAAGAGTCCGACACTCAACCGATTGAACCCCTCAGGCACCCCAAGCAGCTTCTTTATTCACAGCTACAGAGTGATGGAGCCAAAGAGCCCTTGGGTGCTCTGTACCCTTGTGCCTCCAGCCAGGCCTCCTCCCCGCCCCCAGGCCTGGTATGCATATGGCATCAGACAGCCCGGAGTTGTTAAAGGCACCCAGGACTGGGAGTCCAGACCTCTGAGCTCTGTTCCCAGCCAGCCGCCAGCTCAGTGGGTGTCGCTGCCCTCCCTGGGCCTATTTCCTTACCTGTAAAACGAGGGTCCTCTAAGTCTCTGTCTAGCTCCTGAGCCTTGGTTTCCATCCCTAGGTGGCTAGAGGACTGCCACTAGGACATTTCACTGCTCAGAGGTATAAATGCTGATGGAAATGC